TATGAAATGCAATTTTATGAAATGCAATTAATGTCAAGCACGTAAAGCATGGTCAAATCACACACATTTGTACTGGTGCTGAATGTGAGAGGAACGAGAGGCAAGTTTATTTATAAAGCACTTTAAATGAACTCGTTTAGGCTTGGCGTTTATAATAAATGTTGTTTACAATGAATGTCACTATAATTTATGTTTCTTTTATATTTAAATCTTTCATTCTGTTCTGAGTACAGTTACATTTAAAGGGTTTGCTGTGGAGTGAGAGGATATCACAGTGTTTATAATGTTTGTACTGTAAATGTTTCATTTACTGGTATTTTACAGTATAATATTAAAATGCAATTTATACACCGATGTGACTTATCTGTGTTTTTTTCTCTCAACAATGCAATTTTGAGTAATATTCAGATGTGACTGATATTCTGGAAAACACAGTAGCTGATTTCAGCTGTTACTGTCCAACTGGGACATTTGAACACATGTGTTTTAAACACACACACACGGTAACTAATCATCTACTGTACACACCTGATAAAACCGTGTGTGTGTGTATGTACAGTGGGTACGGAAAGTATTCAGACCCCTTTCAGTTTTTCACTCTTTGTTATATTGCAGCCATTTGCTAAAATCATTTGTTAATTTTTTTTCCTCATTAATGTACACACAGCACCCCATATTGACAGAAAAACACAGAATCGTTGACATTTTTGCAGATTTATTAAAAAAGAAAAACTGAAATATCACATGGTCCTAAGTATTCAGACCCTTTGCTGTGACACTCATATATTTAACTCAGGTGCTGTCCATTTCTTCTGATCATCCTTGAGATGGTTCTACACCTTCATTTGATTTTAGCAAATGGCTGCAATATAACAAAGAGTGAAAAATTTAAGGGGGTCTGAATACTTTCCGTACCCACTGTATGTATACACTGTGGATCACTAATATTATCAGCAGCTAAAAATGGTTTTAAGTCAGTTATTTCTATCTTCTGCTGGAGTGTGCCAGTAGGAAATATCAGTTTACATTTCCAAACATTCATTTGGCCATTAATTGTAATAATGCAGTGAGATATATGTTAGTGCTGCACACAGAGATGTGATCTGATCATCATCAGTCTGTCTGGAGTCACATGAAGAAACAGAACAAACTGAGACAGACTCAATCCAGAAGAACTTATGCTTCAAGAAACCTCCTGCAAAGCTACAGTGCTGTTAAAAGTTTTAGGCTTCTGTAAAAATGCTGTAAAATGAGGATGCTGTCAAAAATAATGTCATAAATAGATTTTCTTTATCAATTAACCTTTCTTGCCCTTTTTGTTCCAGAACACCTGAGGCTTGGGGTCGCCTGCGGCCTGACACACGAACGACACGACTCCGCCGGACACGCCGATCTGATCTGCGGGAATCTTAGTGAACCTCGGCGCCACTGCAACACAAACACAAGCACCTCACTGACGTCACGATCATCAATTAATCATCATTTACAGCGTCCACAGAGCTGCTGCTCGCTCGCACTGGCCTCGTGTTCAACTCACACTCACTTACACAGCAGCTCATGAATGGATGACATTTAAACATCAACACTTCTGTCAAATGAGGTGGAAAAGTGCAATACAATACAATTAAATTCAAGTTTATTTGTATAACGCTTTTCACGATACAAATCGTTGCAAAGCAGCTTTACAGAAAAT